GGCTTTTGGAATCTCTGGGTTCGGCGGCACCTTCTTCGGCACCTTCTTCTGCGCCATCTTCAGCCGTGCCGGTGGCAAGGATCATGAGGAACGAGCCGACTGAGCAGCGAATTTGGGTCTATGGGATCTGTGTTGCGGCTTCCCTCGACTTGCCTGTTTTCCCCTCTTTGGCCGAGGACGACGTTGACATCATGATCCCTCTTCCGGGGGACACTGATCTTCTGGGCGGCGAGTCCCCGTACTGTGGCAGGAGCTTTGAGGACGTTGCCGCTGCCGCCGAATGCTCGTGGTGGTGCGCTCAGGTCCTCACCTTTGTCCCGCGCAACAACCCTATGCGCCCAGAGATTTACAAGTTTGCCTTTTACCTGTATGGCAGGCTGCAGTTGATCAAGTCCTCCATTTGCCGTATGCAGGGGCAAGGGTCGGATGCCAACAAGAGAGTCCACCGCCCCGGCGACATGGTGACGACCCGCCAAGTTCGAGTCCCGGTCGTCGTTGATCCTTCGCGCCCGGACCTGGTTGTGGAGCACGACTGCGACGTCATGATGGTTGACCCGGCCGAGGGCGACGATCTCGAGGATGCGGCCGCCATTGCCCACGACATCGTGATCGGGTCTACCTATGTCACCTCTGACGTGGACCCTCCGGGCCTTGCCATCCTCGACTCCGGGTGCACCAAAACGATGCATGGTACGGCATGGACCGAGCGCTTTGAGGCTGAACTGGGCAGGCTTGGTCTGAAGTTCAAAAGCCAGAGGCGGAAGCAGCTGTTCAAGGGTGTTGGGCGGCCAGATCCAGAGCAACCTGGTCAAGATTTACCTCATTGGGCTGGCAAAGGTGCACGGAGAGATGTGTTCCTCTGAGGCGCCTGGCCCTCTGCCGCTTCTGTTGTCCAGGCCCTTCATGGAGGAGCTCGGCACCGTGATTGACATCGGCAACGGCCCGCTCCTGAAAACCTCGAAAGGCCACCTGGCAGTGAACCTCCTGGACTTTGACACAAGCAACCTCGAGAACTTTGAGACTCAGGAGACCCTTCCCGAGGACCAGGGCAACAAGCCGCACAGCAGCCAGGATGTTCCGGAGGAGGAGCCTCGAGTGTATGGCCCAGGTGACCCTTGCCCAGGGATGAGCTTGTCCGAAGACGAGATCTATGACATCCTCCAAGCCTACTCCGAAGATCACCCGGATATCCCTGAAGGCTGGCACCCCGACGACTACCACGACCACTTGGCCCATCTCGAGCTGATACGTGAGGAGGTCGATGATTGGGGGAGAGCGCTTCGAGACGGCGGCCAAGCTCACCACCTTGACGGCGACGTCAATGAGGACGCCCTCTACTTCGAGAACGAGATGTCCTCAGTGCAGGCCCCCTTCCCGAGGACTACGAACCGAAAGTCCAAGAAGCTCTCGGCGATGTCTGCGGCAGTGGACGGCACGGACTTTCAATGGCGACAGGTGTGTGCGGGCAAGAACCGCGTCTCCTTCAAACCTCCTTTCGGGAAAGTCTGGATGAAGCAACTCTTTGCGGGGCAGATGGGTTTGAGCCTTCTGTGTGTCATGGCGGGAATGGTCATAGGTGTTCCGCTCGACATCCACTCCGGCTGGGACGCTGCCAGCGGCAAGGGCAAGAACATGCTTGCTCAGGACCTGCGGTTCGAGGACCCATACGTGACGGTGCTGACTCAGCCCTGTGGCCCCTGGGGATCGTGGAGCCGGTTCAACCTTGCTCGCGGAGGCCCTGCGGCACACTGTCGAAGCCATGCGTGAGGAAGGCCGGCGCGTGCTGAAAGTGGTGAACAAGACCATCGTGGACAGAGTGCGTCAGAAGAGACATGTCTTTGTGGAGCAACCTCGTGGTTCTTCGTGGCTTTCCGAACCCGAGCTCTCCGGCGTCCATGCCCTCATCGAATCAGGCGACCTCATCGTCATCAATGCTGCGGGGTGCATGTTGGGCTACATAGACCGAGAGTCTGGGCTGCCACACTGTAAACCCACCACTTTCGTGACAACGCTCCTCACTGCGGAGAGTGTGTTCAGCGAATGCCGCTGCCCTGGAAATCATGAGCATGAACCTCTTCAAGGTTCCAACCGGTGCGGCCGGAGGACAGCACAGGCTGCTACATGGCCGCCGCTCCTGAACGAGAAGGTGCTGGAGGCGATCGCTCAACAGGCCAGCGTCGAGGAGTACGCGCACCAGCACGTCCAGGAGACCTTTGCCAACGAAGGTGGCCGAGAGCGACTTCGAGTTCCAAAGAGGCGCCGTCCAGGAAGAGTGTCTGTCTTGGCAGACAGAGACAATGCACCTCCTGTTTACCTTCGGCCAGGTGACGTTGAGCCCGTGCCTCCGGATGACGCGACCGACCGCACCCTGGCCGAGCTCATCGATGAACCGAGCGCTGGTCAAGGACTACCCTGCGTTGCTGACGGCGATGACGCCTCCCACCGTGCCATTATGACAGGCCAGCTTGGACCAACTTTGAGCATATCAGAGCAGGACAGGCGGAGGAAGTGGCTGGAGCTCAGCGCCGACATCCGGAAGTGCCTTCGTGATCTACATGTTCAGTTCAGGCACCCGACCAACACCACGCTCCAGCGGATTCTTCGACGGCAAGGCGCCAGACCTGAAGCCATTCGAGGAGTTGATTTCCTTGCCTGTGATGCGTGCGGCGAGTCCCACCGCAGAAGGCGACCAAAGCCCGTGAGGCTGCCCGGCAAGTACGAATTCAATGCCCATATCCAGGTAAACGTCTTCTACTGCAAGGATGTGCGTGCCCAGCTGTTCTCCTTCCTGAATGTGATTTGCGAGGCTACCGGCTTTCAGGTGGTTTCTTGCATGGGTCTTTCCCAAGGTCCGCCTGCTGCTCGTGTGGTGCTTAGGCATTTCCTGACTTCCTGGTCCTCTTGGGCCGGCTTACCTGGAAGCCTTCAAGTCGACAGGGGCAAGGAGTTCATGGCCCACTTCGCCGACTACCTTAAGTCCTTTGGCGTAGAGCAAGAGGCTATGAGCTGTAGTCTAAACTCCTTAAAGGGGGCTATAGGGGGATTGGAGAGGGGACTACTATAAGGCTATTAAGGGCAATAGACTATAGCTCATGTCATTGTTTCGAGCTCCAAAGCCCTACATATCCCCTTCAAAGGGACTCTGACTGCTATGTATACCCTTGAAAGCCCCACAAAAACTCCTGGAGCCGGAAAATGGTTCGACTCCAAACCGGGAAAACTGCAAAACCCAAAGTCCTGGATAATAGTGACCATAAGGGATAATAAGGACCATATAAGGGTCCTTGTATATTCCACTTATACCACGTACTGTTCCAGGGTGGAGGGTCCTCCCAATACTATAGTCTGGAAGCCCCTTAGGCCTATAATGCATAATATTGCTGTGAATATATAAGTCCTTCGGGTTATTCCACAGTAAAAGATCAAGAATTCTTCCTAAGAGGGTAGGAATAGTTGGTACCGCAATTTGGAGAATAAACGAAATAACGCCCACAGTTGCGGCCTCCATTGTGGCAGCAGCTTTATCCTGAGCAGCTCATGTTGGCAAAAACTAAAAGTCTTCAAAAGCTGACATATGGTTCAGAAATCGTACCAGAATCCCTTCAAGGGTATGTCGTGCAGAGAAAGACAAAACCTGAAATCCAAAACCGTTGATCCTCCTGATATCACCTACTTGGAGGGTCATGGGGACTTAGTAAATAGGTTAATAACCCCTATAAGCCATATAGTAAGCCCATTTATCCCTATTATTAACCTGCTTACGAAGTCCCCCTGACCCCCCAAGTATGCTTTCAGGGAGGCTCCATCTTCGCGCTTGTCCGATTCTTCGGATCTGAAAACGGTTCAGGGTTTAGGGTTTAGGGTTTATAACCCTTGTTATAATCCCCATTAATGGCCCTCTAGGAATTGTAAGTACTGGTAGAACCCTAGCTATAACCAGTTCAGTAACTACCGAGTCCCGTGACCCTTCAAGTCGTCTTCGACGATTGCTCAACAAATAAGCATTCTGGCTGTTCGCATGCTTCGGCCATTACCTGCACTCCCCCCCAACTAAGGTGCAACCCCAAAAAGGGTATTTGAAAAGTCAGCACAGTCCGTTCAAAGGGGCCAACGTGGGGTTCCACGCAAATCCATGATTTGGGGGAATCTTTATCCCCTCAACCCTAAGCCCCATTCCCTAAACCCTAAAGTCTAACGCCTAAACCCTAAACCCTAAACCCTAAGCCCCATTCCCTAAACCCTAAAGTCTAAACCTTATTCTGGAAGCTCCATCTCCCTTTGGAAGCCCCTGGAAGAACGGAAAGGTTGAGAAAGCAGGCGGTTTATGGAAGGACATCTTCGCCAAGGTCGTCCACGAGATACGAGATGCAGCTGAACGGGATCCAGGACGTTACCACTGCGACGGCCATCGTCACTCAGACAAGGAACGGGTTTCCCCGTTCGTCGGGTTACGCTCCCAACCAGTGGGTCCTGGGCAGACAACAAATGCGGCTCCCCGGCAGTCTGCTGAAGCCGAGCGCCTTGAAGTCTTGGAAGCCGCCGAGGACCCAAACTCAGCTATGGCCAGATCGCTTGGCATTCGTGAAGCCGCCCGTGTCGCACAGGTCCGAATGGACACAGACAGCAGAGTAAGACGAGCTCTACTGCACCAAAGCACCCCCACAAGAGGTCCATACCCTGTGACCTCGTATGTGTACTTTTACAGGCAGCAAGCTCCTCCTGGAACCGGTCGGGTGTACAAGTGGCATGGCCCGGCAAGGGTCACTGGAGTGGAACTTCGCAACCAGCGAAGGCTTGAAGACCCGGACCTTCCGACTGAGGGAGGCCAACCGCACTCTTACTTGCGCTATGGCAACTCCGAGGACCTGGTTACTGGCGAGCAGCTGCGCTTTGCAAGTGAGGACGAGCTTCTGGCTGCCCACTCGGTTCCCCAGGAGATTCTTGCTCCTCCTTACGCTCGAGGCGCTCGCGGCTATGTGGACCTGCGTGCTCAACCTCTCGCACCTCCACCTGACGAAGACCGAGAAGCACGACCTTCACAAAGGCCCCGGGTTGGTGGATCCATGGCTTCTGTTCCTGCCTCAGCTCTTGTCCCCGGCACTGACATACCTGTCGTCCATGGACTTCTGCCACCTTTACCTGAAGGATGTGACGGCGGTCTACTTGATGAAGTGGGCCGACAGCAAGTTCCTCAAGAACCACCGCAGATTCCAAGGACGGGCGAGGGGGCATCCATAGACGTTGGGCCAGGCCAACAGCAAGTTCATCAAGAACCAGCGCAGATTCCAAGGACGGGCGAGGGGAGACAGACAGCATTCGCACATGTCGACAGACCCGGAACCACATCCGACACCAGTGTCTGCACCGGCTCTACCACATATACCACCAGCACGGGAAGCACAGCTACAGCCAAGCCTTGATGCACACCATGTACCTCCAGCACAGCCATCTCAAAGCATCTTCCAAGACCCAAATCGGCTTGACGGATATGTTCCTGTTCGTTCCTCTGCCCGATCGGCTTCCAGCACTGAGACGCCGTACTTCACTGAGGACCTCCTGTGGGACATCGAGCCTTTGACACGGACAGTCCGAGAGAGTCGGCTTCGCAGAATGGTCGATGGCATCGAGGAGTACGAGATCGACTCTGATGACGAGGGCGACTCGGACTTTGCGTACCTGTGCCCTGCAGATGTGTTCCTGACCGGCAAGACTGTTCGTTCCGAGATCAAGCTCAAGGACCTTAGCCCCGAGAACAAGGCCAAGTTCCTCGCCTCCATGGAGAAGGAGTGGACCTCATGGATGAAGTTCAATGCTGTGGAGATCCTGACGCCAGCTCAGATCCTCGCCTTGCCGGGTGATATCCGCATCATTGGTACACGGTGGGTGCATACGGACAAGAACCAGAAGCAGCGCCTTTTGGCCCTTCACCTTTGCCATAAGACAGGCAAAACTCGCGACGAAGTCCCGCTTGGTTGTGCAGGGCCACCAAGAGGATGCATCAGACCTCCGCACGGACTCGCCAACGGCATCACTCCTGGCCTTTAACCTCGTGAGTGCCGTCGCTGTCCTGAACGGTTGGGAAGTGCTGGCTGCGGACGCGTCCACCGCCTACCTTCAATCCCAGGGAATAAGCCGCTTGCTTATTCTCCGCCCTCCGAGGCCGCCTCCTCCTGGACTTGGGCCGAATGACCTCCTGAGAGCAAAAGGATCCATCTACGGCACCAAAGATGCAGGCCGTTCCTGGTGGAAGAGACTTTACAAATCTCTCCGTCAGAATGGATGGCGTATGTCCGCCATCGAACCGGCACTTTTCATTCTGGCTGATGGTCCTTCTTTGCTTGGAGTGCTCATTACCCATGTTGATGATATCTACGGCTGTGGGGATGGGGAGGCGTACGACAAGACCCTCAAGGAGATGGAACAAGAGCTCCATCTCACGATCAAGAAGGGCACCTTCCGGTTCTGCGGGAAGAATATCCAGCAGAAGGACGGGAGCATCTTTCTCGACCAGATGGACTCCATCGAGGGCATCGATTACCTGGTCCTCCCGACCGAGAGGCGCAAGAACGTGAATGGCCTGCTCACCGACACCGAGAAGTCTGCCTTCCGTGGGCTTATCGGCCAGATGGGGTGGGTCGTTCGGCAGTCACGCCCAGACCTCATGGTCAACGTCAGCGTGGCCGCACAGGCCATGGGTGCTCCGAGGATCAGGGATGTTGTTGCTTTGAACAAGGCAGTGAAACTCCTTAAGGACTCCTCCGAGCACAAGTGGTGCTTCAGGAAGTGCAGCTTCAAGCTCGAAGAGGCCGTCGTCTTCTCCTTTGCGGACAGCAGCTTCGCCAACGTGGAAGGTGGCAAGTCCCAGTGCGGCTACGTTGTGGGTTTGACAACCAAGGACATCTTCGATGGTGACCAGGTGCCAATCCTCGTCTTGGAGACCTACTCTGGCAGCATAAAGCGGGTGTGCCGCAGCACCTTGGCAGCTGAGGCCAATGGCTTTCTTGCGGGCACTGAGGCGGCAGAGTACCTGAGGATGCTCTTGATGGAGCTTGTGCACCCGGACACCCCGATCCGCGACTTGGACAACCACTACTTGAAGGAGAAGATTGCTATGTTCACCGATGCACGGAGCTTGGAGCAGTCCATCAACAAGGACACCGGCCAGCCGGCGGACAAGAGGGTCCGCATCCTGCTCGCCCAGGTCAAGGAGATGATCGGGGAGAACACGTTCGAAGACGATGCCCCGGCCTATGCCTCTTGGGTGGACACGTCGCAGATGCTGGCAGATGTGCTGACTAAAGAAGGGTGTGACCGCGAGCCACTTTTGTATGCCCTCGCCGAAGGCGTATGGCAATTGAAAGCCTCCAAGGCCGCTCAAGAGAAGAAGCTCTTGATCCGAGCTGGGAGGCACTCTCGAAAAGCCGCCCGCTCGCGAGCCGAGGACGAGTGTTGATCTAGCACCTTGCTGCATGNNGGGGAACTTCACCGCTACAGAAATTCTTTGGCTTTCAGACAAGAGGCACTCAGGCATTGGCTGGAAACTCTGTGACAGCCAGTTCACGACTACTACAACATCATGGATGCCCGGCTGGATCATTAGAATTAGGACTTTTGAGGCTGCGACCTTGTTCCTGTTGTCAGAAGTTCGTCACTTGGCAGTTCAAAGTGATGATTCACAGAACTTGTTACATCATGTTGATCTAGCACCTTGCTGCATGTGCACAGCCTTTGCAGCATGCATGGTCTGACGCTTACGGCTCACTTGCAGGGCGCCCTTTTAGTGGAAAAAGCTTCCGTTGCTCCTGCACGCTGCTGCTTGGAGTTTGACATCATGTTGCAGCTGTTAGCTTCCTTGTCGGTTCGAAGCACACCACTCTCTGCTGCCAACGCCGCAGATGTTTGATCCGTGCATTTTTCCAGTGGAAGCGTGTATTTCATCAGAGTACCGGACACCCCCAGAAAAAGGGCTGTCCATCAGTGAATTCCTAGGCAAACGGATGCAATCTTCGCCATCGTCAGGGGTGGCGGCTGCCAGCTGACTCATAAGGGACTTTGTGTTGAATCTGGTAGGTTCCCCAATTTCTACCCATTGGACGAACATTGCCACATCGCAGTACTGCTGGGAGCAACAATCTTTGCCACTGCCTTTGATGTGGACGGTTTGGGCTTGTGGGAGAACCAGGATGTTGGCGACATTCTTTCCATTGATGGGATCCCGTACCAGGGTACACGTCAGCCAACCGGTACGTTTACCGCCAGTGACATTCGGTGGTTCTCGAGCAGTTTTTTCAGCCGCATGGGGTGGCAGCTCTGCAGCACCAATGTCACGACCACCACCACGACATGGCAGCTCGGCTGAACCAGCTGATCTAACTCATGCAGAGCATTAGCCTTGCACACTTGTCGCACAAGCATCCTAGACTTCGTGTCAGATGCTGCCACTCACTAATGGCGGTTTCTGGCGAGATTACAAGCGCACTATTGCAAGCTACGTTGGCCTTTCGCACACCTTCCCCTGTTGAGGTGAAGCAGGTCGCATGTTGCCCTCAAGTCTGAAAGCATGCACGTGTGCTCTTCTTGCCAACAGCTGGCAGCTGACATTCAGTCATGTGGGCAGGCATGGGCAGGCACTTGCTAAAGGAGCCTCGCGGTTGCTTTCTTGCGGGAATTGTGCATTTGTAGGGTTGCTCGATCTGTCGCGGCTAAAGCCTGCAGACAGCAACTTCATGGTTGTTGTTGGCGCTGCAGAGTCACGGAATCAGGCCGCTGCCTGGAGTCGCCGAACTTCCCTGATGGTATTCTAAATTTCGAATTTTGCAAAGCGCACGCAAAAAATGGCCCGTTTCGATTCTCCTTTGCCGCAATAGAACTTATGCAGTTCGTGACCTTTGATGGGCAGATGCGTGTGTGGGGTGACACACGAGGTGACACAGGAGCACTACTAAACTGGACTGGTGGCAGTGGAGCGGAATCGTGGCGCGACCTACCGTTTCCGAACGACACTTATGAAATCACGTGGACGTCTATCCACTGGTTCGTCCATGCCCGTGCATCTGGTTGGCAGTTTTGTCAAGCTTCCCACATTCCGAGGCCCACCAGGACCTACAGTTAGTTATGCCAGCACGGTAGACAGATTTAGTAAAGGGACCACGTAGGCCACCAACATTCAGTGTTGTCTCTGCTTAGAGGCCAGGGGATTGTTGTATGTCGTGATCGGCAGGCTGCTCAGGATGCTGCATCCTTGTGCTTCAATCTGAAAAGGCGCTGCTATAGGGAGAAACTGGACCAGTAGATACTTGCCGCGGGCAAAGTGGGGGTGGTGGGTGTCCGGGCAGGCATGGCCATGGCCCTCATGACCGACCCGTGTGGGGGTAGGAGCGGGGGCGTTGGGGTCCGGGCAGGCATTGGAGGGATCCGGAGCGCAATTGAAACTTTCATGACGAGCTATCAGCTATCCACACAATTCTTGGGTGGGAGGGGTGGGCCAGGGGCAGTGGAGTGTGAGGGAGTGGTGGCAGGTTTTGGGGCGGACTATAAAAATCTTCATGTCCATCAGTTTGCAGGATTTCCTTCGAAGTTCAGGAAGGGGAATGTCAAGTCCGTGGAGCCTGCGCAGAGGCTTGGAATTTTCCAGGTGCCAGCTTCAAACACTCTTGCAGGATAACTCCAGAATTTGATATGGTGATTTATGCTACGCACTTTCGCTTCGACAGATCAAGAGCTATTGGCACAGACGATCCTGATTTCGGCCTGGTTCTGAATTCCCAGGCATACAGCTTCGAGTCAGGCACAGGACCTCAGGGCATCATTCCCCAGGAGGATATTTTGTGGAGCGGCGGCGGTAGTGCCACATGGCGTCTCTGCGGAAGCAGGCGCGGTGCACAATGTTTGCTTGCTTGCTTGCTTGCTTGACTGGGTTCTACTATGTCCTGGAATGCTGTCGGGCCCATGTCTGGTGCAGACATACATTCTGACGCAAACGCGCATGACGGATTCCTGAGGGCTTCACAAACACTGACCCATCCGAAGTTCAAACAACAAAGTGATGCCCCTCGGTAATTTAGAAGCCTGCTAACCGTACTGAATATGCAAGCAGCAGGAGTTCATGCCAATGTTGGAGTTTCTGTGCGACGAGCACTTCGTAATGACAGCTGTAGGCAGACATCCGCCACAGAAGCTGATGGAAGCAGGTGCTGAGGGAGATTTGCCATGCCAGGGATCAATCAAATCGGAAATAGCCTGATCATTCCTCTCACGTCCACAACCCTTGTCATCCACCAAGTGAGTTGGGTCGCGGTGTAGCCCAGAAAGGCTTCGGTGCCCCAGGCCTGGTGACTGGTTGCCAGGCATACTCAGGACGATGCCAGTGCTGCACGGCATCCTAACTTGTCAGGGTGCCAGTATTCAAGCTCGCAGTTTTCGCACCTCGTGAAAAAAACAATCTCCGAACAAGCCGCCCTGGATTCATGCGCGAGCAGCAAGACGTACCCACTCAAAAGTCGCAACCGTGCGTGCCATCAACTCTGTTCTCAGGTTCCCTGAAGATCAGCCTTCCACCCTTTCAAAAACATGTAAATCGACAGATATGTGAATCCTTGAGTGGGTATGTTGTAGAGTCTTTGCTTACTGTAAGTGCCTGCATGTTGCCATTGTCTATTGAAGTTGTCTCAAGGTTCAGCCTTCGTGATACCACTCTCGAATTTCCCAAAATTTCCCCACCATTTTGGCAATCACTTGAGTGAGGGCCTACAGCATTTGGGGGTATCAAAGTGGCCCGAACTATTTCTGCAATGCTGCCCGGTGGGCAGACAGTAACTTGCAGAGGACTGATTCCGGGAAACGTCGGGTCTGGATCACAGGTGATCAGAGCATCGTTAAGACTAGCGGTAACTAGCGCAGGGCAGTGGCAGAGAGCTTATGCTTGCTGCAGGCTGCCTGCTGTTTCGTATGACGATCTGGGCTGCGATTGGGAGCTACATGACTGTAACTGGTCAATCTCCGGCTGGCGGCACCCAGCTCAGGGCTTCAGTGTCGAGGTCAGCGCAGATGGAGGCAAAGCATTTCTCCACAGCTCCACAGATGCAACCCTGGTAAGCTCGCAGATTGAGACAGAGCTGGACGAATGGACGTTGATCTTCTCGTACTTCTTGCAATCCACTTCGCATCCTCCAGGCGTCCTCTCACTGTCCAGCTTCGACAATCGGACTACTACTTGGTCGAGACTGTGGTCTGTAAAGGGAGATCAGGGAGCTTCATGGCAGGAGGCCAAGGTAATCATACCCCCATTTACATCAGCTCTGATGCTCGAGGCTTCCTACATCGACGGCACAGATCCGGTAGCACTTAGCAGTATTAGGACGAGATCCGAAGCAGCGCGAAGGGGATTTGCTCTTTTAGCTTGGGCATTCCGTCGGACCTGTGCAGTTTATATTGGGACAGGCCAACTTCACTGTTGGGGCCCCTCAGGAGCAGCACTAGGCCAGGGCCGTGATGACTTTGAATTTTTAGGTCGCGCCGCAGAAAAGGCCGCCCTACCTGCTATCGATTTGGGTAGAGGGGCTTTCGCCCAGCAGGTGACTGGCGGCGTAGGGCACGTTTGTGCCCTCCTTGACAATGGTTTTGTCAAGTGTTGGGGGCAAAACGCTCACGGGGTTCTTGGGCTTGGGCTAGACTCCAAAGCATCCATAGGTGATTCTGCTGGCAGCATGGGCGACAATTTGCCTGTAGTGAATCTTGGGGCGAACCGCAAAGTGCGACAGATCAGTGCCAGATCTCTCCACACCTGTGCTCTCCTCGATGATGATTCCATTAAATGTTGGGGTAAGGGCGATTTTGGGCAGCTCGGCAACGGACGCACTGATGATGTAGGCGCTGATCTTTCCGAGATGGGCGATGCCTTGCCCTCCATTGATTTTGGGCCGACAAGAACCCCTTTGCAGGTCGAGGTTGGAGAAAACTTCACCTGCGCACGCTTCGATGATGCATCTGTGAGTTGCTGGGGTCAAAATTGGGGTTTACTGGGCTATGAGAACGAGATTCACGTTGGCCGCAACCCGGGAGAGATGGGAAACGCGCTCCCTCCTATCAATCTTGGAACCAACGCCAGAGTGAAGCAGATTGCAGTTGGCCTGAGGCATTCCTGCGCATTGCTTGACGACAACACCATGAAGTGTTGGGGAAGAAACTACGAGGGTGAGTTGGGCCTAGGTCGTCATATGAAGTACATCAAACAATACATCATTGGTGATGAACCTGGAGAGATGGGAGACGCTTTACCTGCAGTAGACTTGGGGAAGGACCGATGGGTTCGTCAAATATCTTTGGGGCAGGCACATACATGCGCACTTCTGGA